TGAATCCGTAGATGACGAAGGATCTGCAGGAGATCGTCGACGTCGCGAGCTGCGGCGCACACGCGGTGCTCGTGTCGACTCATCGTGCTCCTCAGCCTAAAAAAAAAAAAATAATTTAAAATTCACCTGCTGTTCCGCCAAAAACTCAACTTCCTCGAATGGTTTGGCACAAAATTTTCATTTAAAAAAAGAAATGTCTGAAGAAAGCCATCAAAATCTACAGGTTAGAGGGGGGTGTAAAAGCACATACGCGCGTTGTCTCATCGTCCAGTGCGTCGGCGGAGTCAGCACCATCCAAATCATGCTCATCCTCTTCTTCCTCTTGAATTTCGGTTACACGTAGCCTTTTGGTCGATGTCGGCTCCCTTGAACGTTAATATAACAATGAAATCAATTGCGGGGCATCTACCAAGCCTGCCGGTGCGATTATGCATTTTCACACAATTTCGTGCTGCACTGAGATCGCTTGAACTTTCACGCACCGTTATATCCCCAGGATATTTCAGCTTCCCAGTCCAACTGATCCCCAACATCACTTTTTTGCCAAAAATTGTTTGTCATGCCAGCACGTGTCATACAAGCGCATGTCAGTGCTCAATTTATGTATGCGGGGACTCGAACATAGACAGCAAATACTCTCGTAAAATCAAAGGAACTTAAACTCTCGAGCTGGCATTTTGCCAGCCATTGCGAAACTTTGATGTCTTCACAAGACGCATGCGTATGCTCGAGCTGAATTTGAAGTACTCAGCTCACATAAGGACAAAAAATATCCTGTGAAATCTCAGCCTTCTATCCTGGTTGGTTCCCGAAATCTCTTTCCCACCAAACATTTGCATATTTTTTTAGGCGTCCGTACGTGAGACTCAGGCGTGCATGAACCATGATTTCAAAAGTGCAGCATCGCACAGAGATTGGGAATGCTCCAGAAATTTCAGTTTCCTGGCTTCACCAGTTGCTGAACTGTAAATGGGCTGCGGAAGAGTGAACACGCACACGCACACACACACACACACACACACACATACACACACACATACGCACACTCGCCATATGCGTTTTTGCCTTTGCATAAATGTGTAAAAACACAAAAAAACCACATGCTGCATAGCGCTCATAAAATCTGAACAGTTCGAGCCGAAACCCAGTGATGGCGTTTCGTGATCTCAAGGTGAACGGTGTTACCTGCCGCTGATATCGCTGGCGCTATAGGAACGCTGTAGCTGTTGAACAAGTTGTGCTTGGCCACGCAAAGCTGCTGTTGCGATGATTTCGCGCGCACATAGTATTCCTCTGCTGCCCAGTCGCATCACCTGAGAAATGATCATTTCTAATCAATACTGCATCTGTCCAGTGCAGTGCCATACTCTTTAAAACCAGTGAACAACACTCAGCAATGTTAAGCACCAAACCACCCATCAACAAATCTCACCAACCCTCCAGGGATGTCTGAACGAAATCCCAGAATGCTGTCGAAAAAAATTTTTAAAAATCCAAAACCAAAACATTCTTTTAACTGCCTATTACAAGCGAAAAATTTGGAAGTAACAAAAAATAGGTCAGCTGACGATAGCTTCCTTTTCAATGACTGTTTTTAAAAAAGATGATGAAAGTTTTGACATTCTGACATGTGTTAGCACACCGATTAACGATCGAAATGAATGAACTAATCGATGGATTGGGCGCCCTGCAAACGAGGGTGAAACCTCGACAGCAATCATTTTGGCAGCTCTATTTACCACAACACCATGACCGCAGATCGAGAAGTAATATTACCACTAACAATCAATAAAACAATCAAAAAAACTTAGTATTCTCGTTAATAATATAATTTTTGTGCCTACATGAATAGATATTTGAGCTACTCTCTGACGCATGAACATGAATAGATATTTGAGCTACTCTCTGACGCTATACAATGGGAACAAATAAGGTAAGAGGAAGAGTTGAAAGCAACCTGATTATAACTTTCCGATTTGGCATGCTCCAGCATTAAATCGATGTCCCGCTCGTGCTTTGTTAATGTTGGGTGTACCCACTGCAACAATCACAATTAAGATGATCAAATTCGCTCAAGAAACAAACGACTAAATAACCACGCGTATCAGCGGCCACCAGTGATACGTGTTATGATAAGCTGCTGCGAATTCGAGGTGCATGAATGCGACGAAAAAACATGCAGAAGTTCACTCAATCCCATTACGATGGCTTATTGACCTATTAGTTGAAAAACAACATGCCATTGCCAGTGTGACGCTGTTGTGTATGTGTCGGCTTAATGTGATGCTGAGGCAAAAAA